TACACAGAACAAGCTGCCTTGAAACAGTGCTACAGATTTATCTCTCTCTCCATACAAAAACTAGAGAGGCCATTGGAGTGGAGCAGGGGTATTTGCCTTAAACACATTCTCATAACAGCTCAGCGAGAGAAAATAGCAGCGGCAGATGAACCCTTCAGATAGCATCTCCGCTGAGGCTCTCTCAATTGCCATATGCTCTGATCGAATCACATGGCTCACGACAAGAGCAGATGTTCTCAGCCTTCCGCTGGAAAGCCCAAACTATAAGCCAATCCAAATGCTGAGCAGTACTGGCCAGTTACATTCTTCGGGGCCATTTGAGAGGTAGCCAAGGCTAAGGAAACTGGCCAGTGATTCATTGGAATTGGCAAGCAATGGAGAACTGTTCTGCATTATGCTCTCTCTCCCCAGCAACTTCATCATATGAAGGCATTTGCAGCTCTGAGCATTGGCATCCAGAGGACATTTATGCTAGAAGATGTAGATAAAAGGGCATTTCTCTAACGAAGTATCTTATTAGCAACCTGTCTATCTGGGCTCTGTTAACTATTTAGGTCAGTGAGCAGAGCTGACTGGGTCCTGGAATCTAAGCCGTGGCGTTTTTAAATAATGGAGGCCTGTCCTTTCAATATTTCACTTTAGTGCAACTGAAACTGAGCAGCCAAGGGGAGGAAAGTAAGACAAAGTTGCAAACTGATGGGGAGGGAAACAAATCTTGTAATTAGTTAAATGAATCAGGTTAATAACTACAGTCCTGTTAAACTCCTTCAGGGCTCTAATGCTATTTATTGAGTGACAAATAAGCCTCCATCCTTGATTAGTTTTAGTTTTGGCACCTATAATTAGATGATTTTCTTACTCCAGCCAAAGTTTCTTCCTACCCCCTGACTTGTTGGAGGAGACAGGACTGCACGGAGTGTTAAGTGCATGTTCATCAACTTTGCACAGACATTCCTAACCAAACTCATTCCAGAAGTGATTCAAGAACAAGTTAGGAACTATTCAGAAAAGCTAGACAAACACAAGTCCATGGGTCTGGATTTAATGCATCTGAGGGTACAGAGGGAGTTGGCAAATGTAATTGAGGAGCCTTTGGCCATTATCTTTGAAAACTCAAGGAGATCGGGAGAGATCCCGGATGATTGGAAAAAGGCAAATGCAGTGCCCATCTTCAAAAAAGGGAAGAAGGAGGATCCAGGGAACTACAGACCAGTCAGCCTTATCTCAGTCCCTATAAAAATCATGGATGGGATCCTCAAGGAATCCATTTTGAGGCACTTAGAAGCAGGGCCGGATTTAGGAAATGTGGGGCCCGATTTGTGGGGGCGGGGCCATACATGCGCTGCACGCCCAGGGTTGCACCGTACATGTACCATACGCCCGGGAATGGAGCCCTCTTAGGTGCAGGGCCCGATTCAGGGGAATTGGCCTAAAGCCGGCCCTGCTTGGAAGAGGGGAAAATGATCAGGAATAGTCAACATGGATTCACGAAGGGCAAGTCATGCCTGACCAAACTGATTGGCTTCTATGATGCAGTAACTGGCTCTGTGGATATGGGAAAGTCAGTGGATGGGATATACCCTTGATTTCAGCAAAGCTTTTGATAAGGCGTCACACAATATTCTTGCCTGCAAGTTAAGGGAGTATGGATTGGATAAATGGACTATAAGATGGATAGAAAGCTGGCTAGACTGTAGGGCCCAGTGGGTAGTGATCAATGGCTCGATGTCAGGTTGGCAGTCGGTTTTTAGTGGAGTGCCCCAAGGATCGGTTCTAGGGCCAGTTTTGTTCATCATTTTTATTAATGACCTAGATGAGGGGATGGATTGCACCCTCAGCAAGTTTGCAGATGACACTAAGCTAGGGGGAGAGGTAGATACTCCTGGAATGAGGTATAACAGTTAAGTTGAACTAAGGACTTAGTTTGAATTACCGTTTCCCTGCCGCGTGTAGCCGCGGGCAGTTACTTTGGGCTAGTGAAATTTCAAAATGGCAACCGGATGGGAACTGCAAGTAAAGCCCAGGATATTTAAATCCCGGGCTTCATTTGCAACTTCGAATGCCTACATTAGCCTCCCTAGTTCGAACAAGGGAGCTAGTGTAGACATACCCTCAGGGCTTTGGGTTTGTTTAATCTGCAGAAGAGAAGAGCGAGGGGGGATTTGAGAGCAGCCTTCAACTTCCTGAAGGGAGGTTCCAAAGAGGATGGAGAAAGCCTTTTCACAGTAGTGACGGATGCCAGAACAAGGAGCAACGGTCTCAAGTTACAGTGCGAGAGGTCTAGATTGGATAGTAGGAAAAACTATTTCACTAGGAGGGTGGTGAAGTACTGGGATGGGTTCCCTAGGGAGGTGGTGGAATCTTCATCCCTACAGGTTTTTAAGTCTTGGCTTGACAGGGCCCTGGCTGGGTTGATTTAGTTGGGATTGGTCCTGCCTTGGGTAGGGGGCTGGACTTGACGACCTCTTGAGGTCTCTTCCAGCTCTATGATTCTATGATTCTAAGAAACCTCTGAAGGGCTCATTTCTCTAGGACTACCTACCCCCTCATGCAGAGCACAGGGTACTCCCTCGATAAAGGTAGCTTTTCAAAGATCACCCATCACACCCATCACTGGCAGCTTAGTATCCTGATGATGGATGCATCATAAATGCCATGGTAACAGGTGTGCATGTAAAACTGATGGGTGAATCTTTCTCTGTATCTTTTAAGACAACTTCTAGAGTTCCATATACTGGAGCTTAGAGAGATCCTAGAGATTAGGGGGAGGTGTTATCTTTTATTGGACCAACTTCTGCTGGTGATAGAGAAAAGCTTTCCACTTTCTACAAAGCTCTTCTTCAGCTCTGCAAATGCTCAAATGCTTGTTTCTCTCACCAACGGAAGCTGATCCAAGGACATTACCTCGTTTGTTTTGTCTCTCCAATATCCCGGGACCAGCATGGCTACAGTAACACTGCATATACTAGGGTATGTCTACACTACCCTCCTAGTTTGAACTAGCAGGGTAATGTAGGCATACCACACTTGCAAATGAAGCCCGGGATTTGAATTTCCCGGGCTTCATTTGCATAAGCGGGGAGCCGCCATTTTTAAAACCCTGCTCGTTCGAACCCTGTGCCGCGCGGCTACACGCGGCACGAACTAGGTAGTTCTC